ACAGAACATGTGAAGGTGGCTTTGGACGTTAGGATGGCATGTTTTTTCTGTGCCTCTACGACTAGTTTAATATCTGCCACAAGAACCCCCTGTCATGACTACCTCACCGAGATGGGCGATCCCTGCAGGCAACACCTATGTTGGGTGTCGATACCCAGATCTTTGAGGCAATCCTTTATTTTCTTGACTTTCTGAGGCTGTGCACTTGTCCTGGAACAGCTTGCAGTTCAGCAGCTGTTTTGGCAGTCAGCTGGCAGACATTCTTATAACATGACCTGCCCATCTGACCTGACGGGATACAAGCTGGGAATCCTAGCTTATTCCAGGTTCAAGGTAAATTCATTGGCAGAGAAGAATTCACTTATGACAAAAACGCAGTTTGTCACTAGTTTCTAATACACAAAGAATGATTTTGTGAAGACAAGTGACTGTAATATACATAGTTCTAATACACCCCAACCTGTTATTTTGAGCCTCTTTACAGGGGTTCCAAAAATGCCTCTTACAACCTGACAGTGCATTTCCAGAATGGTTGTGCAGATCAATTTCTTCTCTAAAGGTAACTCTTGATAATACAAATGCTGCTGTGCAAGTGGAAGCCCATTCAGGGCTCATTGAGTCAGAAAAGGCCCTTAACGTGGAGATGATGAAAAATCGTCTCCACCACACACTGAAGGACACAGTGAGTAAAACTCTGATTTAACTACCACAGACAAAAGGCAGACTGTGTAAATCACTGTCATACAGCGAGGGATGTGACAGAGATGAAGGAGGTTTGTTATTAGCTACTCCCTTGAGCAACCTGTGGAGGCAAAGACATGGATCTTTGATTAAAGTGTAGTAGGGCTGAAGGCTGAGATGCTCCCTGCTGCGAGGATTTAGTTGTAGAGGAGCTAGTAGGTCAAAGTGTAACCCTGAGGAGAGCAGAGCTGTGACGCATTTAGCTCAAATACACAGCAAATATGCTGAGAGAAAGTTCGAAAATGTGAACGGAAATCATTTGCCATGTTGGCACAGATTAGTTTCAATTAACTAAACAATCTGCCTAACATTGTAGAAAATTAATCATATTTTTTTATACAGCTCTCCACATTCTGAGAATAGAACAGAATATAATATAACAGAAAAATGGATGGTTTCTTTCTCCTCGATTTAATAAAATGCAAGAAGCACATTTGAATTTTTTTTTTTATACTTTCTTCGCAGCATGTTGAGATAGCCTCTTAGGTCCACTATCTTTCTAATATTATTATTATTAATTTATTTTTATTTTTTATATATATATATATATATATTTATCATTATTACCCCCACCTCCATGGCTTTAAATCCCATCTTCTAGTTAAGGCCACTCTCAAAGTGTGAGCAGAACATGCATTTATAGGGGCAGAACCGAATGATTTAGCACTGCAACATGCTATTGCAATTTAGCACCACTTATTTACAATCTATACTGTCAGGCCTTATGTCTTGAGGTGAGGGTGCAAAAGGTTTTCTCATTTCTTCTTTATTCTATGAACTATTGCTCTATATACCATGACCTCCAAAGGCTTCAAAACAGTCCTCAGAGCCTAGTCTTCTTCTTCATGTTCTTCTTGTTGAAAAACTGTCACTGTCTCTGATACTGCTACCCAAAACATTATAGCAGAAGAGATTGAGCTCTCCACAACAGAATTATAGAAGATCTGCTGCATGATAGGGCTTCAAAAACTGAAGAACTAAGCCTCTTCAGGAAGTATGGCTGCTTGTGTCGCATCTTCAACACAGCTTCACTTCAGAAAATAATCTGGAGGTTCTCTAGTCAAGATGGTTATCAGAATCAGCTTTAATGGCCCAAATTTTTTGTGCAGAAGAAGGGTATTTGACTTTAGTTTCCATTGCCTACATCATAAGTATATATATATATATATATATATATATATATATATATATATATATATATATATATATATATATATATATATATATATATATATATATATATATATATATACACACACACACACTTATGACGTAGGCAATGGAAATGTATATATATCTACAGAGATGCAGATAATGCTTAAGGGGTTTAAAATAGATATGAAAAACAACAGGATAATATTAAATATAAGTATGTAAAGTGTACATGTGCACCCCTGGTTTTTATATATATTTGTTGGAGAGGAAGACAGGTTGTAATGTTGCAAAAGATTTCAATTTTCCAAATAGAGTAGCTGCCTACTTAAGCTGTTAAGCATTTATTCATGTTAAACTAAACTGAACTTTATTTATAGAGAGAGCCCCTTAAAACCACCACAGCTGCAACAAAGTGATGTGTACACTGTACCAGGGAAATTTAAAATGTATATAAAAAAACAAGAGTTTAGAGGAATACAACAAATAAAATAAATAAGTTGAATTAAAACAGATAAAAACATTCAAAAGATAACTGTTAAAATAAAATCCCAAAACAGAGAAAGTCTCATCCAGCGTTTAGATCCAAAGAATAAAAATAGGTTTTAAGGAGGATTTTTAAAATTGGACAATGAGGAGGATGTTCTAATGAGGAGGGGAGCTATTTCCACATGTTTTGACCAGCAATTATAAAAGCTTTGTACCCTCTGAGCTTCCGTCTGGACATCAGTATCTCCAGAAGAAGCAGGTCAGCTCACCTAGTAGGAGCCTAGGAATGGACAGACTCAGACGTTTAGGAGGGGCTTAACTACTTAAAGACTTATAAAACAAATAAAAGAATCTTAAAGATAAACTCTAAAATGCACAACTAGCCAAAGGAGGGGCGGGCCAGGATAGAGGTTATGTGCTCCATCCTTCATTCATTCAAAAGACCAGGAAAAGAACCAGTTTCTCTCTTAACAGGTGAGCATTGATGTATTTATACTCTGCCACCACCACTCTGTCTTCCATGAAAAAAAAAAAAATTCTATTCCCTCCTAAAATCTAAAATCATCTCCTTTGTTTTGCCCAAACCCAAGATGACATTTTTGTTTCCACTCCACACAGCAATTTAGATATAGGTCAGGTTCATGTCCATCTCTTATATACCCAGCTTTTTCATGTCATCCAATCATTTCTGCAGATGAAGGATCTTTGACTCTTTTGATAAGTCTGAGGTCTACAAAGTAATGGTTGAAGTACGGCCCCCTGTGCTGCTCCTACGCTGCTGACCACCTGGTCAAATACAACCTGTTAAAAAACAGCTTTTTAAATATATTTAAATTGTTTATGTGAAAATTATTATCAGCAGGAAAACTTGAACTTCGTCTTTGTTTTTGAAAATTACAGCAACCATATTTGTTGACTAGAACCACAGCTAAAGCATCCACCCTGTTTTTCTGTTTTTATTTTAGCAGAGAAGTAACAGAGGGTGTTAGTCTTTTTTCTGTGGTTACTTTCACTTTCTAAACTGGGTCAAGGCTGTACATGGGGATGATTATGCATCTTTACTAGCTGTCCTTGTGTAGGAAACTAATAATTCACTGTTATGCGTAAGGTGATTGCATTTAGCCTTCAGATTTAAACTATTCCTTCACAGATGCACAGACACAAATCCAGCATGCTATAATACTCAGACCAAACAGTTGCAGACAAAAACATAGAAAACGATAGACTAACAATTTATGGGAAATTGAAAAAAAATAAGTCCCCATTATCCAAATGTCACAAGCTTTTTTAGATAGGCTGTCCTTGAAGTGTTCTTGTCGAGCTATTCAGGCAACATTCCTGTATGTGCCATAGACGACCAACAGTGCAGCAACATTGCGACAAAACTGAACAGTAGATTTCTACAAGCAGCCAGCACACATGTTGCATTGCCTCCCTCTGATCCCAAAATGTGTGTTCTCTCAGCCAAAGGCAAATTATCTGACCTCATCTTAAAAAGAAAACAGCAAAGAGATATCTTGAATATTTATACCATTGCGCTGCTAAGTTAAGCAACTATAAATCATGTTATTGCTGTTTTAAGCAAGAAGAAGCTAGAAAATGTAAGTAAATGAAGATGAATCGAGGGGATACCTTAGTTATTAGACGTAATGCAATGATTATACAGAGTTAATGCTCTATCTGCACCAGACAGCACAAAGGCATTTCACTCACATTTTCAGCCTATCTCAGTGGAGCTAAAAAAAAAATCGACCTTTGGTCATGCTTAAACTACTACAATGTCAGGCGTTTAAAAGAAATTTAAACTAAATATCGACATTCCGTTTGGATTAAATCTAAATTAATTTACGATTTTGTGGTTCTTTTTAATTGAAGCTATGAAAGGTCACAGTTTAATAATGATGTATCTATTATTGCTAAATACGTTGTTGCTGAATGATGTCACCTATGCCCAAAAGATCATAGCTTTTCTACTGAAGTTTAGTTAATGTTCCATCAGTTAGTTATTCTGGTTGCATATGCAAAAATGTGCCTATAGCTTGTGAATTTCTCTTAGCCTTTACATAAAGAGATAATCTGCAAGGGAAATGGGATTATCTGCGATGGGTAAGATATTTCCATCTCATCACTCTCGAAAGAACCCCATTAGAAAAACAGAATTACCCTTTTTATGTGTCATTATCACCAAGCTCAACCTGAAACACCTACTAGATGAAAGCTTGGACTTGGGAGGAAACAGCTGTCTAGCCATTAAATGTGCTTCTTTAGCCTGTGTGTGATCTATACTTGCAGTTACACCTAAAAATAGACGAGACACCTGAAGTATAGCAGGTTTGCAAACAGTGCTTCTCAGCATGCAGGGCTGTTATGTCAATTTTCACTGAGTCATAACGGCCAAAATGCAACAGGAATGTCTGAGATGATGATGCTGTGCATCTGGGGAGTCATTTAAAGCTCTTTGGCAGCGACACTAAGCCAAATCTTCACCCTCTGAAAAGTGGTGGCTTATTGACATTCAAAAGTATACTATACAGCTACAATTTCATTTTAGCAGCACGCATAAAAGAATGAATTGAACAATTAAGTCTGACTATTTGGTTTTCCTCTTCTTTATCCAGGCCCCCCAGCTCGGCACTCTGATGGGCGTCTACATGCCCTGCATCCAGAACATTTTCGGAGTGATCCTGTTCCTCAGGATGACCTGGTTGGTGGGAATTGGAGGAGTCATTGGGACCTTTATCATCGTCTTCATGTGCTGTGCCACTGTGAGTTTTCCAGCTACTTTTACTTTAAGGCCTCGTATGTCTCAGTTCACAGGATATTATGCACTGTAAAAAATGTAAATCAGTTTCTTCCAACAGGCAATAAAGACTCAGAAGCTAGTTGGCATAATATGCTATCAAAATTTACTGTAGGAATTTATTGAAGTGTCATTAGTTGCCTCAGTTGGCATTACTATCCCTTTAATTCAAACATGCTGTGAACCAGTGAGCACACATGAAGAATGTGGGGTTTAGCATGTTTCTTTTGAATTAGTATTGACTCTGCATAAACAATCCTTGCTGTGTTTTATCCTAATGTATAACATATAAAACTACTGAGCAGAAATCATTTTAATGTTTTAAAAGGTTAAACTCCAGCCTCCGTTTATTGGATGCCTTGTAAGAAAGAGATTAATTGTTATTTTACAGATTTGATATTTTATAATGAGGGATCAGGTTGTTTTAGACCATATTGTTAATTTTCATTATGATGGAAAGCCAGTTGCTGCTAGTTTCTACTGCTAATCTGTGTATAGGTTTCTGCTAATCTGTGTATAATCCCTGTATAGGTTTCTACGTGATAGACAATTTTATGCATGAAGTATTTTTGCGACTGTTCAAAACATCAGTAAGAAAACAGCCTCTACCTATCCATTATTGAAGTAAGCAAAACAGTTTTAGGAGCGTATGGTTTATATCAAATCATTACCTGTATAGATGCTGTTTGATGATATTTGCAGCTGTAAAACTGGTCCTCACGGTCAAGTGTGAAATAAAAATGTTCACTACAGCTTTGAAGAAACTGGATGGTAAACTGTTCATAATTTTTTTTTCAAAAATGATCTAAGTTACTTAGTAGGAGCCGATTGTAAAAGCCAAAAAAAGCTTTTAAATGCTTAAAGGAATAGTACACCCAAAACATGATTAGCCTTCATTTTCTACTCACCCCCATGCTGAACAACACTCTGGAGTACTTTTTTGATATCTCAAATGCATCTGGAGATCTGGGAGGCTTCTTGCTGTCTGCTGACATTCAAATAATGGAGGTCTATGGTGCCCGAGACAGAAAGGTCCATAAAAGTCCACAAAAACGTGTCAATATTCCTCCATACTGCTTGTCCAATGTATTCCAAGTGTCCTGAGTGGGTAGCATCCAGAATTTACTCGAAACGAAGTCATTTAGAATGTTTTTAGAGCATAAACAGTAGTGTATAGGATTTCCTGAAAGCGCGCACATGCGCGCTCACGACGCTACGGAAGCCGGCAGACCAAACCAGCGCATTCAGCTCGGCAAAGAACTCATGCTCTTCCTCAACACTGAAGTCCTCAGACATTTTTCTTTCGTTGTTTCTTTCTTTGCACAGGTAAACGGCACATTTCTTCTTCTACGCTTGCATTATTGGCAGAGCAGACGCTGAATGCGCACTTTCATCTGGTTTGGTCTGCCGGCTTCCGTAGCGTCGTGAGCGCGCATTTGCACGCTTTCAGGAAATCCTATACACTGCTGTTTATGCTCTAAAAACATTCTAAATGACTTCGTTTCGAGTAAATTCTGGATGCTACCCACTCAGGACACTTGGAATACATTGGACGACCAGTATGGAGGAATATTGATACGTTTTTTGTGGACTTTTATGGACCTTTCTGTCTCGGTCACCATAGACCTCCATTATTTGAATGTCAGCAGACAGCAAGAAGCCTCCAAGATCTCCAGATGCATTTGAGATATCAAAAAAGTACTCCAGGGTGTTGTTCAGCATGGGGGGTGAGTAGAAAATGAAGGCTAATCATGTGTTGGGTGTACTATTCCTTTAACTGAATTCAACAATCCCCAAATACAGTAAAAAAAAAAAGCTTATTAGAAGCAAATAATTACATATTTTAAATGTAGCTGCAGTAAAACAAAGCCATCATTGCAACAACAGCTACATTTTTCCTTTAAAAGAAATGTAATGTTGCAGAAAATTCTACTGACAGTCTCTCCCAGGTGCCGCACATCCAGCCTCGAAAAAACAAGAAAACTGATAATGAAACGCCTGGATGTTCTCTTATTCCTATCACTGTTACTGTCACTGGGAATTTGGACCTTCCACTCACCTTCAGACACAAGTTACAACTTAGTGCCGGAGCATGAAAAGTGCTTCTGTCAGTTATCTGTGCATTTTTTACACTGCGTGTCTTTGATCGGGGAACCATTATTGCCATTACAGTTGCTATTATTGGAGTATTACAGTACTGTAAATTTTTATTCAAAAGTGTGGGACCGTAATTAGAAGTCCCTTTTGCTATTTGAACATAGTATAAATACACTAAGTTTTAATAAATATAATTTTTTTGTTAAGAATAATCCATTGGTTGTCTTTTTGCATCTTATAAATACATATATGGTAAAGATGTATAAAAAGCCTTATAATATTATTTTCTTCTGTTGGAAGATTTTACTAAAAACATAACCTTTCTGACCAATCCGAACACATTTATCCTGCCAAAGAAAAAAAATGTGAGACTCAATTTCTCTCACGCACTCTTAAAAAAACCAGTAAGACAGCAATAATTGCCAACTCAAGAAACACATAAGCTGGAAATTCAGAAAAATTTGAAATGTTTGCTAGAAAAAAATAACTAATTGGTTCTTTAAAAGGAACATTATGAAAAATATTTTTTCTCCAGAGGAAAAAAAATACTAAAAGTCCATTATTCGTTTGCTTAAAGCCAACGGACTAAAACAGGAATCCTAGGTTGTAGTTTTACCTTGGTCAGGTAAATCCAACCTCTTACACTTTTCTGCAACCAGCACATCAGATTGGTATTATGGGGGAAAATAATGACCTACGTAAATGAAAGCAACTCGATCCCATTGTTGTACATTAGGCTGGAATACTCTCACTTCTCCAAAAGGAAAATATGAAGCTCAAAAGAAAGACAATATTGAACAGCGTGAAAGGCTGGTTAAACCTCAGACTGACAAGAAGCCAGCAAACACACTTCATTTTCTATCCTCACACTTTAACATCATAGAGTCCCTCTGTGTACACATGATTGCCTGATTAAAGCCTCAAATACTTACTCTTCCTCTCTTTTCAGTCTCATGCACACACACAGCTCTTATCAGTCACACCAAGCTCAGAGCTGAGCCCCGGGGCGATAAGCCTGAGCGTGAACAGTGCATGAGAACCCCCCACCTCTCTTCTCCTGAGCTTATTACATAACACATAACCACCAAGACCTCCAGGGGTTTCCAGCCACATGATGAAGGGATACATGCGTGTGCAGCGATTCCCACCTGATTGAAAGCCACAGGACTTGTGTTAAGGAATCATGGATGCAGTAAGAGTCCATGTTTTATTCAGTGACGGGGTATTTCTGACAGCACGCTTTTCATTAGCTGCTCAGTCACAGCTGCACACATCTGTTACTGAACACATACGCGTCCTAATTTCTGCTGTCAAGCAGCCTTTTGACAGATTATTAATGAGGCACAACATTTTTTTTCCAGGAAATCTTTATTAAATGAGAAGTGTGCCTTCATGCGGAACTGCTCTGACATTGTTAACCATGAAATTATATGCAAAAGTCAACATAGTGCAGCATTCTGCAAACCACTGTGTTCAAAATCTGCTGAGTTTTTATCGGGTTTATTGAATTCAAGGCTTGTCAGAAAGATAAATTAACTTTCCATCCTCCGGCTGTAAACCCGACTGTTGGTTAGCATTTCTCATTACTCCCAGGTCATTAATCCAAATGCTGCGAGGGGAAGGGTCTCCAACCTCCTGCTATGAGTCATTTAAAAACGTTAAGGATGCTTTTGTAGTTTTCACTCCATTCTCTCTCTATTCCTTGGTTTCTCTGTGGTCTTTTATTATTCACTTCTATCATTTTCCTTCTGCACTTCAGTTCTATGGTCACCACTGAGTCCCTCCGTTCTTTGTTTCCATTTATCATCCATTCAGCTCTTGAACTGTCTGAGTTGAATCTAGCACATTAGTCTAATAATGATAATCCTCTGCATCAGCTTTATTTGTGTCATGATTTAGCAGGTTTGCTAGCCCAAGATGCAGGACTCACAGAACAGACAGGCAGGATTAAAGTCCAATGTTTATTAGTAGGCACAGGTTTCCCACCTGGGAGGCAGAGGATACAAAAACAGGTTAAACTCAGGGACAGATAAACAAGCTGAAACTCACAGGTTCGCTGGTTTGACAGGCTGGGTTTAACAGGCACAGATTAGCAGATTCAGGCAGGCATGGCAATGGCAAGGCATGGCAGCACATGGCAAGGCAACAATGACAATGACCACGATCCGGATCAGAGTGAAGCTATCAAACAGTTTATATAGGGAGTGGTTAATCAGCAGAGCTGATGGGAATCAGCTGAGCGCAGAGAACCAGCTCCCAGGAGAGGATCCATGGCGCCCTCTGGTGGGCAAACCTCTGGATCCCAACAGAAATAGAAGCCCACAGGAAGGGATCCACACAGCCCTCTGGAGGGCAAACCCTTGGATCCCAACAATTTGACGCGCTTGGCTTTTTCTTTAAACCTTTCACTGACACTTCCACTGATGGAAACCACAATGACACGTGGTGTAGAGTAAAGGAGTACTCGCCATTAGGTCTGTTCTATGTATTTCAGAACCCATAACAAGTTAAGAAACAAATAATTCATTATCAGTTATATTCAGTTTATTTACAGGTGCTGGTCATAAAATTAGAATATCATGAAAAAGTAGATTGATTTCAGTAATTCCATTTAAAAAGTGAAACTTGTATATTATATTCATACATTACATACAAACTCATATATTTCAGATGTTTATTTTGTTTAATTTTGATGATTACAAATCACAACAAATGAAAATCTCAAATTCATCATATCAGAAAATTAGAATATTACTGAAGACCAATAAAAACAAAGGATTTATAGAAATGTTGGCCAACTGAAAAGTATGAACATGAAAAGTATGAGCATGTACAGCACTCAGTATTTAGTTGGGCCTCCTTTGGCCT